GACTCCTCGCCGGGCACGCGCCGTCGCCAATCCGCCACCGCCTACCCCGTCCCCTAGCCCCGATCCCTGCTAGCTCCCGCCGCCTTCCTCGGTCGCCGCGCGCGGCCTTCCTCGCCGCCCGAGCCCCAACCCCGACGCCGCGCCGCGCCTCGCGTCGTCGTCCCGCCTCGGCCCTCTTCTCGGCCTGCCGATGGATCCGGCCGCCCCCGAGCCTGTCCCGGCACCAGCCACCGACGCCGGCGCCGACGCCGAGACCAATGGTTACGAGGACGCTGCGGAATTCGAGGACGCGGAGGCTGGGGGCGAGGGCGCTGGGGCCGGGGCCAGGGCCGGAACGGTGCCGGCGGGCGGTGACGCGGAGATGAAGAAGCTGCCCGAGGAGCTCGCCAAGGGGGTCGTGTGCCTCGAATGCGAGACATCGGCCGAAGCGGCGGCGGCGGGGGTTGGCGGGACCTGCCGCGTCTACGTCGTCGGCACCGCTCATGTGTCGCAGGTGAGCTGCTGTTCCGTTTGTCTGCCGATGCCGGTATGATGTATAAGCGGTCGATGATTTCGTGAACGAACTTTATGCGTTCGAATTGGGTTCTTCGAATTGGGTTCTGCGTATAGGCATTGCTTGTGATGCAGAGAACACTGCCTGTTCCGATTGCTTCTCGTGCTGCTGTAATTTTACTACTTTGAAGTTGGGAGACAAATAGGTTGTACATAACTTACAAGAGAAACACAAGGAGTTTGTACTGAAGCAATCTGCCTTTTCTGCTCGGATTTCGTCTATACTAAGCCGTCCTGCGTTGCTGCATATCTAGAGTTTGGAGTGTGAATGTATCCCACGGACGTAATTAGTACAAATCATGGCATGGTTATTTGACTCTTGATTTTGTTGCAGGAATCATGTGATCAAGTGAAGGCCATTGTCAACTACCTGAAACCTCAGGTTCTTCCTCTATCTACTCATCATCAATAAATTTCACTGACTCTTGGACTTTGGCAGGTTTGCTGCCTGTTTTGGGTTGTTTTTGTTTTGTTCTTTGTTGTGGCAAGACATTGCTCTAATTCATTTGCATCCCTCTTGCATGTGTAGGCTGTTTTCTTGGAGCTCTGCACGAGCAGGATTGCAATTTTGACACCACAAAACCTTCAGGTATCTACACATTTGTAAGATGAATATTCAACCCTTCTTATCGCAAGGGACATTCTGCATGATTGTAATTCCTAATGTAAAGTTAGGAAAAACAATAAACTATAATGGTATGCCTTGTGCCCCTGTCTGGATTGCTAAACCTATGTGCTTGTCTACACAGGAGTACTGATTTTATTGTGTCTAGTAAAGGTTTTTCAGGGTTTCCTTATATAACTAATGGCATCAGTCCTTATAACTAAAACTATATAGCCTTAAATGACATACAGTACTATTTTAAAGAAAACTTTAAGTTTTATTAATGGCATCAGCCAAACAGAAGATACCTACCTTTTATTTTCTAGAGTATAATGTATCATCTAGTTCATCGTCTAATCTGTTCCCACAGGTTCCTACTATGAATGAAATGATTGACATGTGGAAGAACAAGAAGATGAACACTTTCGGGATTCTCTACAGCTGGTTTCTTGCAAAGGTATTTTTAGATGTTTGTCTTTGCAGTTAGCAATAGTTAAGTGTTCTTATCACTTGATCAACAATTGTTATTGTTATTTAAGGTTGCTAGCCAACTTGAGGTGTTACCTGGAGCTGAGTTTCGGGTGGCATTTGAGGAAGCGATGAGCTATGGTGGTAAAGTTATCCTAGGAGATCGCCCTGTCCAGGTAATCAACCCAGCAATGGAGCCTGGCTATATGCGTATGAAACTTGGAATAGGCATGGTCAACTTCTGATATTATTGTTTTCATGCATTTGGCATAATGTTTCAAAACGGAATGGTCATATATTCTGCTTTCCACATGTCAGTACCTAGTGCATACCCATCTTTCTTTACTCTGAAAAACATAGGGATTTTCAGAATGACTAGCATAAGGCTTTTGGATTGTGAATTCATAGCTATCTCCTCTTGCTTATTTTGAAGTCTTCTGTTGTAACATTCCATTGCCTAATATAAGGCTACTTCTGTTGTTATGTGACCCAAAATCCCAAATATTGAGACACACCTAGTACTACTTTAGGAATTGTTTTCATTTAGGAATAGAAGATGAAGCATTTTAGTGGTTCACCTTTGTTTATTGGCGGTGGTGTTAACCATTGCTAATTGCTGGCATCACATGTTTATTCCTTGCAAATCAGTCCACACCTTTTGAAATCTTTGTTTCTGAAATTTTCTGCACAATAATTTTAAGCATCTTTAATAGTTACTTTTGGTTAGAGCTAACACCATGTCATCTCTATTCTTTATTTGTCTTGAAGATCACTTTGAGGAGGACCTGGGGGAAAATGTCACTATGGCACAGGGCAAAATTTTTGTACTACATTATTTTCCAGTCCATATTTTTACCAAGCCCGGAGGAACTGAATAAGATGGTGTGATATTCTCTTGGTTCATACCATTTTATGGGGATAGCTTGTATAATCATGAAAGTTAATTTACCTTTTGGACCTTAGGGTTAATATATACAAAAAAGTCACTACTATTGCGTTCACATCTTAATGGCAACTCTTATCTACAGTTAAAGGACATGGATGATGTTGACATGCTAACACTTGTTATTCAAGAGATGAGCAAGGCATTTCCTAGTTTGATGGACACACTTCTACATGAGCGAGATATGTGAGTTCCTTTACTACAATTACTGTGTTAAGCAGACCTTTTTGTTATTTCCGGTGTTACAGTATTGTTAAGGTATAATTGTTAAAATTGTACCTTCAGGTATATGTCTTCAATGTTGTTGAAGTCAGCCAGGGAATATTCTTCAGTGGTTGCAGTTGTGGGAAAGGGGCATGTTTCTGGAATAAAGAAAAATTGGCAACAGCCAATTCAGGTTAGCTTTTTTTTTCAAACAAAAAACAAACCCTAAGCTGCATGTCATATATATTACTTCCTCCATCCCAAATTGTGGGACGTTTGACAATTTTTACACAAAATTTTGAATAAGACGAGTGGTCAAACTTGGTGTCAAAAAAGTCAAACGTCTTACAATTTGGGATGGATTGAGTACGTCATTTAGGAATAGGAAGTGTATCACTGGTTTTATAGCGTCCTCCAGGTTAATGTTTGATTAGTTATAAAAAATAAATATTCTATAAATAATATGCACACTTTAATCTTCGGCGTTCCTTGCAGGTAAAATGTTTATTAGAACTACCTGATGATAACCAAGGTCCTTCAAAGCTGAAAATTTTGGCATCCATTGGAGCATTAAGCGGAATAATAATAGCATCTGGAATATATATATGGGGTAGAAAATAACAGACATGAGCGCAATGTATTCAATGTGCCTTAGTCTCTAAAAATTTATTTAGTTTATTTACCTATAATTTGTTTCATTTGTTCTAAATATAAATAGATGTAATTTCTGAAATTAAAGTTAAACAAATGAAAGGACAGGTGCACCAGATAATGAAACATGTTTTTGTTTTCCTAAATGGTATGCCTTTTCTTTTTCCTTCTTGACAATGTGCTGCTCCCTCACTCCCTAAATAAATCTCTTCTAGAAGTTGTCCTAAGTCAAACTTTCTTAAGTTTGACCTAACAAACAAAAAAAGTACCAACATATATGGCAAAGAAGTATATTTTGAAAAATATATTTCATGTTGTATCAAACTATACTATTTTTTTGTCATATAAACATTAGTCTTGTTTTCTATACAATTCGGTCACACCTAAAAAAGTTTGATTTAGGATAAGTCCAGAATTTGATTATTTAGCGACAGTGAATAGTAATTAACTCCCATTCCATGTATTAAGCATACACACTCGACGAATTGAGACGTTCACTGCCCTTAAGGCTTGTTTGGTGGAGCTATAGCCGGCTCTAGCTCTAGATATTCACAATTATAAGGCATGTTTGATGGAGCTTTGACCGGCCGGTTCTTAACTCCGATTTCTCCGTACTATCTTTTTTTTTTTTCCAAAATGAACTAAGAATCAGCAATTTGTGCGCGCCGCCAAACAGACCCTGCATGTGCTCTGGCAAGATTTGGTTACCAAATTGTGGTTGACCAAACTGATTTGGATGTGCCTAATTCGTCAAACCATCAACGCTCTCAAGCGTAGATCAGTAGAATACATAACTGATAATAGATAAATAAATACATCGTGTCTGACAAATCAGTCCATCAGTGACGGCCGTGCGAACAGAACAGGATTCCCGGATTACGCAATTTAACAGCTCGTGCTCTTCTGAGCTAACAGCACAGCACAGTACACGTTGACAGAAACCCGTACAGATTATCTGCGCATATCCAATCCGATCCTGAACTACTAGTCAACAAAAATGCCACAAGTCGGTCTGATCTCCCCAAGATCGCCGACAAGCACGTCGGTGCGGCCCATCTTGACCATGGCCGCCGCGAAGTCGGCGTAGTACTCGTCCGGCGACACCGCCTTGGCCACCTTCTCGACGTACCCTTTGGTGACGGGGTCGTGCAGGAGGCTGCCGTCGGACTGGAACAGCCCGCCCGTGGCGAGCACGTGGCGGTAGTAGCTCAGGTCGAAGGTGTAGTTGCTGCCGGGGTCCAAAGGCTTGACCTTCCCTTCGCCGGCGGCACCGTCGCCGGGGCGACTGGGAGGCGGGCAGAGCTTCCTGAGCTCTGCGGCGTAGGCCGGGTCCAGCGACGGGTCCTGGTCCATGTTGCCGGTGAAGTTGTACAGCCGCTTCTGGATCGGCCCGCAGTGGGAGGTCCCGATGCTGTGGCAGCCTGCGCGTCCAATCCAAGGCAGCAACGCGGGCATTAGCTAGAAGCGGTAGTGGAGGAGTGGTTTGCTAACGCGTTGCTGTCGCACGCGAAAAGCTAGCTAAGGTAAGGAGGGTGTGGTAGAGAAGAAAGGAGGAGGAGGAGTGGGCGGGCAGCTAAGCTAGCTACCGAAGAGGACGGCAATGTCCTTGGAGTTGAGCGACTTGACGCTGAAGAAGGTCTTCACGTCGACGATGTTGGAGTCCGGCGGCGGCAGGTCGTTCTCGACGTACTCGGCCACGGTGACGTTGCCGTCGCGCCGCCCGGTCTCCACGTCGTACCACGGCCCGTGGCTCTGACAAGCAGCGCAGGCATTCATCAGGAAGAGCAAATTAAGCACACGAACAAAGGCATCGCTGCATGCATGTGTGCTTGCTTACCAAGTAGACGGCGTCCCTGGCGGCCATGGCGATGATGTCAGCGCAGGAGACGGTGAGCGGGCAGACGGTCTCAAGCCAGGCCTTGATCCGCTCGATGGCGTCGTACCCTCGCATGCTGCGGTTGGGGAGCGCGTCCCGCTCCGCCTTCCCCTTCTTCCTGGACCGGAGCATGATCGACCCGTCGCAGCCCTTCCATGGATGCCATGCGTGAGCCCAGCCTAGCTAGAGCGCGCTGAAAGAGCTCATTTCTCTAGCTACGTGGACGAAGCAGATGCTCACCTGCACGAAGCAGTCGTGGTAGTGCATCCGGAGCAGGGACGGCGCGACCGTGGCGTCCTCCATGAGGATGAGCCTCATCTCCGCGAGGACGACGTCCTCCGCGACGGCGCACGTCTCATGGTAGAACCCGACCTTCAGCGCGGCCTCCGGCGGCGCGCTCCCGATCGCGGCGCCGGTCACCAGCAGGGCCGCGCCGGCCACTAGCAGAAGCAGCGGCGGCTGCCGCCGCCGCTCCCTCCACATCAAGAACCGGCTGCCGGAGACCGTAGCAGCAGCTAGCTAGCCCAGGCACAGCGGTCGCTGAAACGCTCGACGCGTCGGATCGGAAGCGGGAGGGCAAGAGGGAGATGGTGTCTGGTGTGCGCGCGCGCGAGCTGTACTACCCGCAGTACGCGATCGGGATCACACGGCGGAAGTCATCGCGTCTGGTTGCCCGGTGGCTTTCGGATGGTAGTGTGTGACGAGCACAGTCGGCCGGTGAAAGCTTTGGTTTTGGTTAATCGATCAAATTCTAAGTGTTAACCTAATTTATTAAAGTGATTGTGAGATAGGTAGTGTTACTTTAAGTGATGAAGCAATGGCGAAGATCATGACGATGGTGATGGCATGGTAATGATCAAATGTTTAAACTTGGAAAAGAAGAAAGAGAAAAAAAATGCTCAAGACAGAGATGAAAATTGTAGGAGCCATTTTGTTCTAGTGATCGAGACACTTAGCGAGTGTGATCACATTTAGGATCGATGGCTGTACTATTAAGAGGGGTGAAACTCGTATTGAAATACGGTTATCAAAGTGTCCCTAGATGCTCTAACTCATTGCATATGCATTTAGGATCTAGTGGAGCGCTAACATCCTTGAAAAATATTTGTGAAAATATACTAACACATGTGCACAAGGTGATACACTTGGTGGTTAGCACATTTGAGCAAGGATAGAAAATTTTACCGGCGGAGTGTCTGCCCGTAGAGTGCGGACAGTCCGACAGTGCCACCGGTGGCCTAGACAGAAAAGACAAAGGTCACTGTAAGTGACCGGACGCTGGTCTCGGTTGGACCGGCACGTCCGGTCAGTGGCAGCAGAGGGCGCGTGTTTCGGTCTTTGACCGAACGCTGGTGCTAAAAGTGACCGGACGCTGGCAGGGTGCGTCCGGTCAGTGCTGACGTACGCTGACGTGAGGCGCACAGAGGAAACGTTGAGTGACCGGACACAGGGTGTGTCCGGTCGAGCATGACCGAACGCGTCCGGTCGTGAAATGTCGCGTCTGAAACCTTACTGGAAACGACCGGGCGCTGAGGTCCAGCGTCCGGTCACTATCTAACTGACACGTCCGGTCATTACTTGATTGTTGAGATCAGACGATCAGCGTTTGAAGCTGATGACATGTGGCAAGCATCGGGCGACCGGACGCTGGGGTCCAGCGTCCGGTCAATCTGACCGGAGCGTCCGGTCGGCCCGTGTTCAGTGCAGTGAGGAGCCCAACGGCTCTATTTCGTGGGGGCTTCTATTTAAACCCCATGACCGGTTCAAGCTCGCACTCTTGGCCATTTGCATTGACATAGTAACCTTGTGAGCTTAGCCAAAGCCCTCCAACTCATCTCCTTCATTGATTCATCATCTTTGTGAGATTGGGAGAGAATCCAAGTGCATTTCTTGAGTGATTGCATCTAGAGGCACTTGGTCTTCGTGTTTTGCTGCGGATTTCGCTTGTTGCTCTTGGTGGTTGCCACCACCTAGATGGCTTGGTGCAGCGGTGGAGGATTGGCATGAGTTGGTGATTGTTCGTGGCCATCTCCGATGAATGTGAGGGGATTTGTACCTTTCCCGGCGGAGCGCCGAAAGGTAACTCTAGTGGATTGCTCGTGTCATTGAGTTACCTCACTTGTGGGTAGGTTCTTGCGGTGTTCAATCGTGTGGACGAGGTTTGTGCAACACCTCTTAGCCACCGAACCACCAAGTGTTGGTCGAGACAACGGGAACGTAGCGTGTTGGCAAGCACGTGAACCTTGGGAGAAAATCGGTTGTCTCTTGCTATTTGGCATTCTCTCGGTGATTGATTTTATCTTCATCCTATGATTGGTTCATCCCTCTACACGGCGGTTTAATCACCCCACTCACTCTTTTATATTCTTGCAAATTAGTTGTAGCAAGCTCTTTAGTGTAATTAGAATTGAAAGCTTGATTTGTTATTTAAGTTCATCTAGTGGAGCTCTTTAGTGTAGCAAGATTGAGAGCTCTTAGTAAGTAGTATCATAGCAAGTTATGTGTCTAGTAATCATTGTAACTAGAATTGTTGGATAGGTGGCTTGCAACCCTCATAGAGCTAGAGCAAGTTTGTATTTAGATATTTGTCTTTCTAATCAAATTGCTCTAGTTGATTTGTAGAATTTTAAATAGGCTATTCACCCCCTCTAGCCATATTTGGACCTTTCAAATTGGCCAAATGATTGAGCGCGATCGACTATATATATTAACGGGCGGCCCAAGACACGCAAGACAAAGATGTACAAGATGGCCCGATAGCTAACGGGCTTAAGACGGCACGCCGTGTCTCCCGGGCCATGCCTCATAGGGCCACGGGCCTAGCCTTCGGCCCAGGTACAGCCCTATGGGCCGATTTCCGTGTCGGGCCGACCCGCGAAGCACTACCAGAATCATAGGTCGTGCCAGCCCACGCCTATTACCCTTTGCATTCATAATTTCACAAACAAATAACAGTTCACAGTTTCATAATTCATATATCACAGTTCACATCATCACAATTTCTTACATTCACAAAATCAAAGTCAAAAACTTGTCCGATACAGTCATATTTTCATACATTCACAGAATCGAAGTCAAAATATCCGATACATTTACAGATCATAGTTTCATACATTCACAGAATCAAAGTCCAAAGCCGATAGACAACAAAAATAACCAAAATGAGCTGTTTAGTGAATTGATGCATCATTAAAAACCATTCTAGATAAAACTCACCCTTGTAAGAAACCATAGAAAGAGAAAGAGTGCAGCCAGCTCTTAATTAACCATTGTTCAAATGATAGACAAGTCTTTGACAGTCACGCACACCCTTTCATAGTCACAGATCACACACACACTCAGGAGTCAAGTCTCAACCTCAGTGCCTCACTAAGTACCAGGAGCACCACCAGCAGGTCCATCTTCATCAAGGTATAAGTTCTGAAATGAGTCTTCAAGCTCTTGGTTGTCAACAACATGCTATTTCCTTTTTTCTCCTAACTCCTAGTCCTTTAAGCAGGTCAGCATCTCCACAGTCTCTGGTGACAAGCGCCGCCGTCGTTCCTCAATTATCCTACCTGTCAAACTGAAACAAGACTCCGAAGAGACAGTAGATACAGGAACTGATATGATATCTCTAGCCATTATAGACATGATTGGAAAGGTTAGCTTGTGGTCACGCCACCACAGAAGTAGGTCAAAATCATCCTCATAAGAAGTGACATTGTCACTGTCTAAGTACGCTGATAGCTCAGAAACAGCAGAAGTAGATGAAGATGAAGTGGCAGGGAGAGGGGAAGGACCAACAACACCTGATCCACGGCCAAAGATTCTTCCCCATGCCTGCTTTTTCTTACCTGTATGATGTGATGGTTGTGCAACCCTTTGAGACCTAGCTGCACCAAACTTGCTCTCATATTTGTTAAACAGTTTATACAATTCAGTTTTGACATCAGCATAGTATGAACTGTACTCAGAACTAGTGTATTCACCAAGTAATTGCAACACATTAAAGAAACCTCTCATCTTAGCTCTAGGATCAAGAATGAATGCATATGAATATAACAGAGATATGTCCTGCCAATATTTAAGGAACTTAAGCTTCATAGGATATACAATAGCTCTCAGATTATGATCCTTTTCACATGCATGCAATGAGAAGCAATCTTTAGGATATGGTGCAGAACAAGTGGACTTGTAGGATAATAAACACCAGACAGTACAACAGTGGAGTCATAGAAGAGTTCCAGGAACTCCAAGAACTTCTCAGCAAAATATCAATGATTTGTAGTCAACAATTGTGAATCATAATATAAATTAATGAACACAGAAAAAACATTCTTGTATGGAACCAAGTGTTTAAGCATTAGGTAAGTAGAATTCCATCTAACATCCATATCCAAGCCAAACTTTCTAGGTCTAACACCCTTAGCATTACAGTATTTTTTGAACAATGTAATTCTTTGATTAGAGGAATTTAAGAAGTTAATTGCAGTTCTAAAATCTTCTGGGTAAAGTTTCAACCTCTTTAATCCAGATTTTACAATGAGATTAATGATATGATAAGCACAACGTTGATGTACAAGACTGTACTAACGGTTACTAGGATCAAAAGGATTAGGTGAAGGATCAGGATCCAAGTAACAAGCAAAGAGAGGTGCCAAAGTGTTCATAGCCCTAGCATTAGAAGAAACATTGTCTAGAGTGACAGAGAAAATCTTGTCAATCAGACAATACTCCTCAACCACAACATCAATTCTTTCAGTAATGTTTTCACCAAAATGTTTAACCTCAATCAGCCTAAGACCAATAACCCTTTTCTGTAACTCTCAATCAGCATTCACATAGTGAGCAACAACACTAACATAGTCCTCCTTAGTATTACCAGACCAAATGTCTGAAGTCAAAGCAACAAAAGAAGCAGCAGGCAACACAAAATTCTTAAGCTTATCATGACGTTCTGTAAATAGCTTACCAAGATCTCTATTGGTGGTATGTCTAGAAACCTTAGCAAACCTAGGGTTATGAGCAAGAACAATGTAATCCTCTCATGCCTGTGACTCACCTATACCTAATGGAAGGTCAAGCCTAGTAATCAACCTACACAACTCAGAGGAAGCAACAACAGGATTGTAGTCCCAGTTGTGCACAGATCCATCAGGATTGTAAGAAAGCCTAGACTGAACCCTAGCAGCATGATCAACCTTTTTTCTACAAGATTTCTGATGCCTAATCAAATGGCCAGTACCAGCAGAAGATCCAACAGACAATCTACTCTTACACATTTTACAGATAGCAGCCGTTCGAACCTTTTGACCATTCACAGTCTCATAGATCTCATCAAAATCAACTCAGACACCAGATTTACGCTTACCAAGGCATGAGGTACCATCTGTGCTGTTAGAGCCGACCAGTGTCCCTGTCGTCGTCGCCGACGGCGCCGGCTCCGCCCCTCCACCACCGTTGCCACAGTCTAGATCGATCGGAGCAGAGCCGCTACCGAC